TCATCCCCATTTTCACCCCCTTAATTGATGGTTTCCCTTAAGGGATGATTTTCGGAATAAAATTTTTTATATTTCCCACAATTCATCTAAATCGGTTTAGTAGTTCCAGAAATTACTTCTTACAAACAAACTCACAAATTTAGAAACTTAACCTCTTTATAATATTAGTGTAGATAAAATAACCATGAAACAAGACTTTCTTGCGAAAAGCTTATTTTATAAGATATAATAGTTAATATGATATATTTCATAATAATATATTAGCTACAAAAATATTTAATTCAGTATTGCACTTCAACGATGATTATAGTGACGCAAAATGGTTTCATTTGTGGAAATTTTAAGTATCATAAATAACGTTCGATTACTCTAATCTAGCGTTGGGGCCGGCATCGGACACTTTAACAATGGCGTTAAAAATGAGTTCGCAGTCCAACTGTCAGCCGCGATGAATCACTCCGCTGCACAGAAGAAATATCTGTTGGGAGTTATTTGCACAATTTTGTACATTTTGTAGTAAAGGAGATATGGGAAGGAGAGAAACTTATACTATAGTAAACAATTAAAATATTAATATCTATCCATTAATTCTTAAAAATACAATTTTAATTTTTTCATTGAATTATAAATAAAAGTAATAAGTTAAGCAATAACAATATTTTTTTCTACACATGTCTTTATACAAATATGATCAAGTGACGCTTTTGTAGCAATGTTATTAGATATTACATTACATGCAGAGGAATTTCCCTCAATAGCTGTAGACTCATAAAGCAAGCGTGTTGAACAAGGATTGTGTGAACAAGCGGCCGCCTGGGACGCAAAACTTCAACAATTCCCTGTTGGCTTGTCGCGAGCAGAGTTTTACGGCCAAATTAATATGGCAAATTAATGCGTTTCAAAACCGTATAATTTTCGCATATGAGAGGGTTTCTTGCGACATCCCAACATATTGAATACCTTATAAATTAACGTCATCCCCCAAATTGTTTCATGTAAAATTTTCGTTTATTTCTAGTGTAGTAATTGCCAGATTTGCTTACACGGGTTTCAGATTGCGCTAAACCACAAGTGAATGTTGTATCTAGGGAAGAGTGAGACTACTAGGGCGAGATTCGTATCATTTTTCCATATGGAAATAATATAACGAACAGAGCGCACAAGACAACAACGATATGTTAATTAAAGGAAAATATACAGTACGTGTTTCATGTTTATTTTGAGTCAGCAGATACAGAAAACGGCGATTGTTTTTTAATTTCTTCTCCATTAAAAGAGTGTATCAAAAGTTTCGTTTCAAGTTTTGGCCTTATTTGATCAAATTTTGAAATTCTTAAATTGTTAAAATTATTTTGGTACAGTTAAAAGAAAAAAATTAATTCTTGTTTGATAGAATGTGGTTAAAAGGAAACCCAAAGTTAATGTATAGTAAATTTTGAAGATATTTCTTATAAACATTTAAGTATATTTTCCTAATCGAAACGCTGTTTAAGAAACTGAAATAATATAGCTAACTTAATACACGTTTAATTATTCGTACATCCGTAAGAGTATAATATAAGGAGCATGTAAGTTTATGAGTGCGATTCGTCACGACAATTGAACATGCGAGGGTCTGATGAGACACATTTCTTAAACGCAGTACAATAACAATAAAAAGTTACACCGGGACTTTGTTAATTTTAAGCATTCCTACTTCGTAACTTGAAGGTGCATATAGCAGAAAGGGTTCTAATTTAAAAATAAAAAGTCATTTTTAAAGAAAATTACAATTTTTAGAACAATTCCTATTATATACGTTCTCTTTATTATTAGATATAAATAAATATTCGGGCTATTATTACATTTGCTCTTAAGCAATATGGGATACTTACCCTTGTTAACGATGCTGGCTAAGATATTAGCTTGTAGCAATGTAAGAGTATATGTACGAGTATAATGAATACATTTAATATAACAACGGACGTCGACAATATTGAGAGCAAACAATTAGAGGCAAGTTAAGGGAGACAGGGGGTGCCGATTAAGTTATACACATGCGGGTTAGAGGGTAACCCTGACTCAGGAAGATTAAGATTCATCGAAAGGCCCTTACATGGAACAAACATTGTATTACGAGCCGGTGTCTTGGCGATGTTTGCCTAAGGTAGGCGGATGTTAATTTAGAATTCACCCCCTTCAACATCGTGCCCAATATTAATATTTTGATATTGTCGCGTGGAAAATATCCTCGTTGTTAGCTGTTGTAAAAGAAAACTTGGAATACAGGTTGGTTTTCTTGGGCTAATTTGCGGTGACAAACAAAGGGCGGAGCGGGATTCCCATTAATGTCCTGGAAACGCCTTTGGGTTGTCCACAGCTTGACCGTCCGCTAGGGAATACTCCGCACTATTAAAGTGCTAAGAGGGACATTATTTTACCCTCTTGGGTCTTGTCATCAGAATAAATTAACGAATTAATCGTCTCTATTATAGTTTTCAGAACTGTTCGGGACAGCCTATGTGATTATTAATTTCTTAAAGGCAAAGTAAGCATATGTTCTTTAAAATATCTTAAATTATTCCATGCCATACTCTTTATAAGGAAGTTTTGCAAACCGAATGGAATCATTGGTAGCTGATAGGGGATGTTCGAATGATGTGTGTCTTTTGTCTCGTCCGGCCGAAACGAGACAATGTAAGAAAAGAGCGGTGCGTCAGCAATCGCCAGTGGTCAAGAAATATTAGATAGGATAGAGCTACAAAAATTAGAAATGGGCATCTTTATGTTCCAGTTTATTTATATAGTAAAAGGGGCTAACGAGTAAACGATCTAGCTCATGTTATGGTGACTCATGTTGGATAGTATAGATGGTATGGATGGTATCGTCGCTCATAGCCATTTGCAACATAAAAAGAGTTGCGAATGTGTTGCCAGAGTTTAAGAGACCTAAAGACACAACTCTTGAAGAGCTCCATATATTAGTTGAGCTTAATTTTATTTAACAAAGATACAGATTTGCTTGTATCAACTTTAATTAGTTTGTATAATTGATTTATATTTCTTATCTATAGAATAAAGACATGTAATTAACATGCAAATAAAGATATCATAACTATACCTAAGCTTACTATGGATCTGCTTCGTGCTAATAACAAGTTTCATGTGACTCAGAAACAAATGTTTATATTAACATTGTCACTTTTTTTTTCTTTCTTACTGGCTATCCATACCAGGTCATTGTAGTATTATACTGTCATTCTTCTATATCGATACACCTACTCATTGCTTTTTAAAAAAATGTATGAATTATTTCTTTTTGAACGTCGCCACTTCTATATATTTGAAGTGCATTAAGAAATCAGCACCAAAGATCTGAGCTCTGAAGGTCCGGCACATTAAGTACAGACCGCAGTCGGTTTATCAATCGGGGGGTGACTTTATTTAAAATCACTACCTATTGTGACTAAAATTGGGCATTGAAGTGGAAAATTTATTGCTTTCTGAGTTTTATTTTGATTCTATAAACATTGGACCTATTGTGAAGATTTTAATTTGGCTGGGCCATAGACAAACGTTGTTTTGAACTATTAAGAAAAGACAAGTATTTAAATATATATATATATTATATATATTTTTTTGATAATTTTTTCAACCATTTCATAATAAACAATATTATACTTATAGTATTAGTAATCTGGAATTAAAGCAGAGTAGTCCAGAGAACAACGTTAATATGAGCAAATTAAAAACGCAATATTTTACGAGGTAACTTATCAATTCATCTTATTCTGTCAATAAATAAAAGTTTGAAAATACCCAGTTACTTAAATAAATATGGAATTTTAAAATAAAAATACTAATATAATAAGAATAATATGTATGAATAATACATAAAAATATGTGTAAATATACCTACTATATAAAAAAATTTTTATTAATTAAAAAATAAACAACTATGTACATTTATGTATGTCGTCAATAAAATCATTTATCCAATTTTATTTGTAACTACTGACTGCCGAATATTGTTATCGCTACATCTACCAGGCAAACATCAAGTCGAAGGATATGCTGAGATCTGCGAACAGCCGGACTATCGGATAAATGGACCGGTAATAATAAAATGTAAGGGGTAAGATGTAGATCGCTATTTAGATAATTGTTAGCTGTGTCCGCACTAGCCAGTGTATCGGAAAAGTCGTTAGATATAGGGAGGTTTTATTGCCGTCCAAGGTGGTCATTTATAGGAAAACTATCAGAACCGTCATAGGAAATGGATGACGTCGTTTTGTTGTTTCCGGAAAACGGATGTGAGAAATTATTACGGCGTAAGTCGTGTAATACAGTGTCGAGATGTACGTTGTTATTTTATATAGATTTATTACTTCGATTATAATAATATTGTCTTATTATTATTCTCTTTCATAATACATAATCTTTTTTCATAAAAAATGTTGAACATTTTATAATAAAAATATTCTTATGAGATTTTTGAAGGTGATTTTGCATATAGCACCACATAGTCTGAATGGATTTCAATGAAAAGTGAATAAATATTTATCGGATAGGGAAACTGCCTCAAAACCTCCAGTGCCAAAGATAAATAAAAAGAGAAAATACATATTATTTAATGTAATACATTTAATAAAACAAGGTTTAATATAACATTCTATCAAAGGAAAATGTCCCCTGTTTATTTAGTTAAAGCCTAAATAAGCGACAGGCCTCCAGGTGAGAAGTGAAATGGCTCGCGATTTTTCCCTTTGCACTCTCTATGCCTACAATTTCCCTTATACCACTTATTTTGTACTTTCTAGCATTTCTATCGCTTTATATTTGCTCTATATTCAAATCGTCAACTAAATAGCATCGCTTTCAAGCGCTTCATGATAAGTTTGGGTAGAAATATTTTATGCGTCACTGAACGCATTCTGTCGGTCCCAACAACGGCCGAATTATAACGGTCAACTGACCACCCAACAGAGACGCAAGCGGGTAATCAGATATACAAACATTTACTCCTTTGATATAGATAAAACATCTTGGTGTTCGTCGCTTTGTTTTGATATCACAAGTTTCGTTGATATTGGTATTGTTCTTAGGTAGTCTTCTGGAGTATCCTCGTCCTTCTCTGCAAAAGTAAGAGAATAGTGAATAATCAATATCTTATATACTTAAAAATATATCAAACCCATTTTAATGAATGAAATCGATCAAATTCAAGCAGTGCTACGTAACTTCGGTACTTCAAGACGTGACTGACATGAGTTTACGAGATAATCTTTGACATTTCATTATGATCCTTAAATGTATGTTAATAAAGTATAAATTTAAGCTTTATATACCAAAATACCATAGTATTTGCAAGTTCGATGTTTAACGCCACCTGCGTCGGCTATCGTCTCATAATATTCGGCTTAGCGCTCGTACTACACCGCACGCAGCGCATTTATATTAAGCGACTTGAACTTGCAAAAATGCATGATCAAACATAAGGGGGTGCTATTTACATATTGTGTTATATTTACCAGAGTATTTTGTTAAAATAAAATTCTTGTTTTAGTAGTATTTAGCCCTTTTTAACGTCCCACTGCTGGGCACGGGCCTCCCTTCAATACGAGAGGAATCAGGCCATAGTCCACCACGCTGGCCAAGTGCGGATTGGCGGACTTTACATGTCTTTCGAAAACTTGCTAAGTTCTCTCAGACATGTAGGTTTCCTCACAATGTTTTCCTTCGCCTTAAGGCAAGTGGTAATCATGTTGGAAATGATTCGCACTTGAAAATATCGGAGGTGCGAGACCCGGATTTGAACCCGTTTCACTCAGTTCCCCAAGCGAGCGCGTTACCTCTGGGCTACCACTGCCTCCATTGTAGTTGTTGCTTGTTCTAGTTATAATAGATTATTAACATATTGCCGTTCTTATAAGTTTGATTACAACAACTAAGTAGGTACATATATTATATTAAAAATGTAAATAAAAAATAAAATGGTTTAAGTGTGCCTATATTTTAATTAACCATTAATGATAATACAAAGACAGACCGTACAGAAACATAAACATTGAAATAAAACGAAGTAGACCCACGTGATGCATGGGGCTGTTGAAATAATATTATCGTTACGACTCCGTACTTACTCTCCAAGGAAAATCAACATAAAGTGAATAAAAGAAAATTATGAATCGCACGAAAATAAATTACCCCGTGTTGGCGGCAAAATAACATCACATTTGAATGCCTTTTATGCTTTATGGGCCCGTAACTATATGAATAAGGACTCGGTGCTTTATGAGACATGGGAGCACGTACGTCGCATAATTTTTGAACTTGTTTAGAATATACTTATTACCTTTTCATATTATTGTCTTATCTTTTCCTAAATCTTTTAAAAAATATATAATTAAGTATTAAAAAATATAGTATTTCTATTTTTATTTATTTATAGTGTAACTACAAGTTATTCAAATTTAAATTTTATTATAAAACTAGTTTAATTATAATAAAGTAATAATAGTAACTCAACCGCATAAAATAAATGATATATTGAATGGAAAAGAAAAATATTTCACGTCACAAACCACGACCGATACTAACCGAGCAATGAGATATGGTGTGTGAACGCGCAACGCCTACAAAACCTGGCTCAGGCGCGGAATAAATTTCCAATAATTACATTATCGAAAAAAATTGTCCCACTCACCGCCGACAAATTTCTCCGTACCTCGGAAGCCCATAATTCCTAATGACATGCAATAACCGTACCCCCAATTTTCGACATAAACCCGCCATAACAATATCGACATCAGCAAATTTTTCGCCGGGAATTTTTATTTGAGAATAAGTAACACTTTTCTCTGTAATCAAAATTTGCCGAGCCCCGCGGTCGGGTGTTTATCGGCCACTCAATTTTGATTTTTACCACCACTCTGATTTCACTCCTTTCAAGGAATGTTATACGTACGTGCCACTCGATCCCCTTATTTGCTCCTTTTTAGAGATCTTTTGCATCATTCATTTTTCTCTATATAATTTTAATACTGAATTTAACTGTTTAAATGTTAAGCGAAAATATATTTTCTTTATATAATTAATCCAACCATTAACTTATGAAAATCGATTCATAATTGGAAAGATATCAAACTCTCGTAACTATTCAAAATACTGAAATCTATACATATAATAAAATTGTAACAAAGCCGAATCTGTACATTAAATATTTTTTGGAAAATCTGATTGAAATAGACATTTTTATCGATAGAGGCCGAATCTATAGTTTTTAGAATTTTTGTCTGTCTGTCTGCATCACAGAAAAAACCACTAGAGAGATTTTGATGAAATTTGGTATGGTGATAGCGGTCACCATATAATAGACTTTTTATGAAAATAGGTATTTTCCCGTGGTAAAAATATGGTTATTTTTGAGAAAAAATACAAAAACTGCAATGTAAGAATACACTTATATGTAAATCCTAAGAATTTGGTTTTTGGTCATCTGAACGGCAGGCGGAGCCGCGGGCAATGCTAGTAAAAATAATAGTAGCTATTTTTTGAATTCGATCAAAAATTTAAAAATATTTCTAAGAGATACGAATTTATATATATAGGATCATCAAATTTTATATTCATCGGATTATCACCAAATGTCCACTGGAACGTGGACATGAAATACACATATTTATATTCTGTCCGGCCGATGTTTCAATTGCATACTATTTCACCTTCATAATCCGGTTAGAAAAGAAGGGTGAGTAGTAACTTTTTTATCAAATTTATACTTTGCATTTTCCCAAAACAGAAATTGAGTTGGGTATACCTACTTATACTTTAAAAGTTTTTGATATTTTATATTATAGTTATTTATAAAGATAACCGAATCTATACAAATAATAACAAAATTAGATATATTATGTTAATTTTAACCGACCTTGTATGTAGAGTGTAGACCATCATCTTTTTTACCATTACCGAGCAATTTTTCTGAGGAGAAAGATCAAGGGCTTCAGTTAGAGCCTCATTTCTGCATGAGGGCTTATAAGACGTCACAAGTCTGATCACGTTCCGACCTCCTTATGACTAATGACCAGCTCACATGCCCTCACACCTCATGTTTTATATTCAAATCATACAGCTTCCTGGCCCTGATTAATGCTATTTTCTTATGATCATTTGCAAACGTCTTGAGCTAGAAGATGCGAATTTTAATTAATTTCCTATCTAACATTTTAGACAAACGTAAAATTATATTATATTTAAATCAAATCTATTTAGTTTTTACAATATCTGTGTGTTTAAAACAAACATTTACAGTTCTCTCATTTGTAAGACGTCTGGGTACGCCTTAGACAAATTAATAACGAGATAAAGAAACTCGGCGCGTCTTAATTCATTAATTAACCTAATTGTATTTGCCGCGACTTCCATTATTATGGTGTTTTGTGATAAGTACAGAGTAACGAACATTTTGAAAATTAATAATATAGATTCTATATTAATATAATCAAAATAAGTTGACTAAAATAGTATCTTAGTGAGATTTTATACCAATTTTGCGAATAAATTTAATACTTAATTGATATAGGCATTTATTTTATAGAAAAAAAGATATTTTTAATTCAAAAAATAGAGTGAGAGAAAGAGTGTGATATTTTTATAGTTCAAAATTAATAAAAAATACTGTTAAAATTGCTTAATAAGGTTTTCTCTGCGAGAAAATAATCTGTGACATTGGAACTGTGGGTTTGTTTGATTGCCAAAGAAAGGGGTAAATCGAAAAGTTTGTCCGAAGAAAAATTTGGTAATTTAAGAAACAAAATAAGCGCCGAGCCGGCTGCTCGAAAGATTTTTCACTTTCAAACATTAATTGCTACGGGAAGTAAAATAAGTCTGCGCTTTGCTTTTCGCCTTTTACTGTAATAAATTAATTTCATTTTAAAGTTTCTAAATTTTTGTAAACAATATGATTAATTTTTAATATAGAAATATAAATCACGATATTTTACTAAGTAGAGTCGATTTTAATTAGAACAACTATATCTATACATATAATAAAATTTTAACTAAGCCCCATCTGTACATTAAATATTTTTTTGGAAAATCTTATTGAAATAAACATTATTATCAATACAGAAGCTGAATCTATAGTTTTTAGAATTTTTGTCTGTCTGTTTGTCTGTTACCGCATCATAGAAAACCACTGGAGGGATTTTGATGTTTGGTATGGTGATAGCTAGTTATCCGGGTCAATATATAGGATACTCTTTACCCTGGGAAAATATCTCATTTCTGATAAAAAAATACAAAAACTGCAATGTAAGAGTATACTAATATGTAAAACCTAAGAATTTAGTTTTTGGTCATCTGAACGCGGGCGGAGCCGCGGGCAATGCTAGTATCTAATAAAATACCTCTACTTTAGCTTCTAACTAACGAGTTTGTGATATTAAGGGAAGTACAGCAAAATAGAGGGTGAATTTGTTTTTTCCATAATAATTTAGTATGCCATAACCTAACTTTGTAAATAAAAGCGAAACAAATTATTGCTCCCCGTGTCGCACATATCATAGGTGCAATACGCGGCAGTAAAAAAGTTCATATCGTATTTGTTATATATTGTATTCCTACAGCTATTTCGGAACTTTTCTAAATCGTGTCATAACTTGTTTTTCTATTGATATAAAGCATACTTACTTGTAGATGTATATATATTATTATGTTTGGTAAAGTTAAATTGCAAGTCACAAATTAATGATTTGAAATCTAAAATATTGATGATTCAATGAAAAGAATGTTGAATGTAAGCTCTATTTACTTCGGAACAAATATTAAAACATTCCAAACTGAAAGGTCATTTAATTGAGTTTGTTCAGGACAAAACAAAGAAGCGAAACTTTTAAATTGAATGTCCGTGAAGTGTTGGCAACATGTTGATCTTTGCCTGCTCTTTAAAGTTAATATTTTCTTTATGAAAGTACCTACTTGTGCGGACTTCAGCGAATGCACTATGTTGCCCGAGTTATTTTTCCTTCTTTTTTGTTAAAACTTTGAGTCATTTTCATCAAGAAACTTTAACAAATACGAGATATTCAACTCGATGTAACACAGAAAAAAATGTACATATTTTACATATTTTTTTTGTAAAAATGATACTATATTTCTATAATATTTAAAATATTTTTTATTATTGAAATTATGTTAAGCATTACTTCAAACTAGTAGTAATTATTTAATAAATTACTGCAAAAGGTGGAATATGTGTTTATGTGTTTGGATGAAATTAAGGCACTACTTGATAGGCACTTAAGGACTCATCGAGCGAAGCGAAAATAAGTCGCGAAGCTAAGAAACGCACAGGGATACTGGTAATACCTGTGCGTTACTTAATGGTATATTTCTGTAATATTGCTTTGGTATATTCTCTATAACAATATTCTTAACTAACCCATGGTTGTGGTGGTCTGCAGGCAATCAGCGAGTAGCCTGGAATTAGAATTGAATGTAAATGTGCGGGCTTTATCGGGATTATAGTGTTCGTCTGTGAGTGGGAGATAGTTGCGGGTCCGACCGTTACACATGTGCCAGTGAAGGAAGACACCGAATTCAGAAACGGACGTTCGACTCTATATGGACTTTTCGTTTGTTAAAGTTAAATTTTGTATTAAGTAGCTATATATATATATATACCCGGAGGTCCTGGGTTCGAGTCCCGGGTCGGGCCAAGTTTAGTTATTGAGTCTTCCTGTATAGTAAGTCTCAGTAACAGCCCGGAGTTGGGAAGTTGGCGGTGTTTCACCCCCGTGCCTCGGAGAGCACGTAAAGCCGTCGGTCCTGCGCCTTAACTCTCACCGGTCGTGTCGAGTGGTCGTCCCACCGGAGTATGAGTGTGATAGGAATAGAGAGTGCACTTGTGTCTGCGCGTACACTTGAGCACTATAATATCTCCTGCGCAGTTGGCTAATTTCATTGAGATTGGCCGCCGTGGCCGGAATCGGCTAGGAGAACATCATCATCATATATATATATATATATATTACTATTACTATCGAAGTTTAACTAAACAAATCAGTTTATGATATTAAATTAATTTAATACTATTTCTGAATATAAAGTCACAATTAATTTCTAAGTTATACAAATTGACTGATAATTTCTGACTACGTAAAGATTATTTATAATATGATCTGTGAACAGTTAATTTTTGTTTCTTTAATAATAGGTTGAAATAACAAAGTTATAGTTATATCTTAAAACCAACGCAACGAAGCTGGGCCCTAGCTCTAAATAAAGTGGTTGTTACACACGCATGAGGCACCATATATGCCCGTATCCCACCTCTTTAACAAATTTTACTGTCAACTAATCCACCCTTTTCACAGAACATTCCATATAGCTGCCGTACATCGTTATGATGATAAAATTATGAAACTTACGTAGTTTGATAGTAAATTAGATTTTAAATGTGCTATATACCATATGTTCATTTGCCTTCTTTATAAGCAATAACGCAGAAGATTAGGGATAACTTTGTAATTAGAAAATCTTGCATTACTTATGTATATTATACCGTTTTCAAAATAAGTTGGATACACATTCAATATTTTCTATTGAAGATCTTGGTAAAAAACGACAACTACTAAATCAAAGGAAACGCTTGTCGTACGCGATAATCGAACTTACTGTAATAGTCTAGAAGTAACCGCTTTGCCCATCCATATAGTATAACAAGAGTAGAAGTAGAAAAAAAAGAAGAAATATAATAAAAAAGAACATAAAAATCACATATATGATATACGCAAACCAATGTTTA